AGCACGTGCTGGAGATTTACTACTAATCACAGAACCGGCTTTACTGACGAAATTCGCATGAAAATCGCATTCGATTTTTTTGCCCAGCCCTATCTATAGCACTTATTTAAAAACAGTACTAATATTAATATTATAATATCAATAATAATAAATTAAATGTTGTTATAGTTTTAGCATTCGGTTTCATGCGATTTGTGCACACATGTCCCCATTTGTTTATTTATTTTTTTCACAAAAAGGGACAGTGTACATTAATCAATATTCTTGAATGTAAATGTACTCAAATTAGCCCGAAGGCTAGTTTTCATTGGTAGTCCCTTTGCTAGATATTATTAGGCCAAAAAACTAGAGAAATAAAAGAAACACAATAGAAAAACAATAACAAAATACAACCAAAAATTATAAACAACTCTCTAAAATACAATTAAACAACAGATTATACAAAATGATAATAAGTGAATAAAAATGATATGTTAATGCCTGTTGTCAGCCACGTTCTGATTGGCCACTGACTCTTTCAGCTGCATTCTGATTGGCCACTGGCTCTTTCAGCCGCATTCTGATTAGCCGCTGGCTCTTTCAGCCACGTTCTAATTGGCCGCTGGCTCTTTCAACCGCATTCTGATTAGTCGCTGGCTCTTTCAGCCACGTTCTAATTGGCCGCTGGCTCTTTCAACCGCATTCTGATTAGTCGCTGGCTCTTTCAGCCACGTTCTAATTGGCCGCTGGCTCTTTCAACCGCATTCTGATTAGTCGCTGGCTCTTTCAGCCACGTTCTAATTGGCCGCTGGCTCTTTCAGCCGCATTCTGATTGGCCACTGGCTCTTTCAGCCATGTTCTGATTGGCCGCTAGCTCTTTCAGCTGCGTTCTGATTGGCCGCTGGCTCTTTCAGCCGCGTTCTGATTGGCCGCTGGCTCTTTCAGCCGGGTTCTGATTGGCCGCTGGCTCTTTCAGCTGCATTCTGATTGGCCGCTGGCTCTTTCAGCCGCGTTCTGATTGGTCGCTGGCTCTTACCGATGCACTCTGTGCGCGTGGAGCTCGGCTCGAAACCCTCGTTACATTCGCAGCGGTAGCTGCCCACGGTGTTGACGCAGCGGCCATTCTTGCAGATCCCCGGCTTGCTGCGGCATTCGTTCAGATCTGCCAGAGAGAGAGAGATGATCTGAGATGACTTATGCAACAAGACAGACGGCAACAGCACCATGAGCACATGCTATATAAAAATGACTAAATTACTTGTGTAAATTTAAATTATATCCAGTATGCAATACAGACAATGGTTTAGGTAACATCAAATAAAAATGTTACAGATTTTAATTGCATAATATTGGTCAAATTTGACCTATTATTACATAATTATATCAAATATAAATAATTCTTCTTCTTTTGATCATATTTCTTATTTATTTTACTTGCTTTAATATTGCATAAAATACAAGATTATTATTTATTATTATTATTAATACATCAATAAAATATAAATATTGTATGTATTTGTTTTATGCTGATTTTGCATACAATTTTAAATATTATTATTATTATTATTATTATTATTTAAAATGCATGTTAAAAATTTATCCTAGACAATATAATATCACTACATTCTCAATACTCCAATTTACATTAATATTACGTAACATTAAATTATCATTATTATTAATATTACTTATTTAGCCTAGTAAATAATTTGACAAAATACAATAGTTACTTCAGTCACTCCAATTTCTATCAATATTGCATAAAATACTGAAGTAGTATTTTTACTATACATGATTTTACTAAACAAATATTATATATTATTGTTTTATAATAATTAAATGAAATATTAAAGCATTATTATTATTATCATCATCATCATCATCATAAATAAATAAATAAATATTTAAAAAATGCATATGCAAAAAATGTACCCTAAGTAAATATAGTTTGATGAAATACAATATTTACTACATTCAGTGTTATGCCAGTAAAAACAAACCATATTTTTACATTTCCTGAAGAAAATGTTTTTGCTCATGCTAAATTATTAGTCACTATTAGTTTCTGCAATATTCTGGTCTTTTTCAGCAGTTTTCTCGTCCACCAGTTGAAAATCATGAGTCTGTTCTCTTGAATTATTTCTATTTCTATTTTTCTGATGACGACACACAGGCGTTGTTCTCTCTTTAGAGCTTGAGCTCGTCCAGCCCCTCCGCGCACTCGTCCTGGTCTGCAGAGAGAGAGAGAGAGAGAGAGGAGTAACGATTATCGCCTGCACTCGCGCGTGCGTGTGTGTATAATGATGATGTGGATCGTCATACGGACCTCGGCACATCCGGTTGTCATCACGCAGCACGTATCCCGTCGGACACATGCACTCGTACGAGCCGAAGGTGTTGACGCAGCGGAAAGCGCAGAGCAGCGGGTTCACCGCGCACTCGTTAATGTCTGAACACACAGAATAAAGACGAACACACAGACCGTAAGAGAAAACAACCACTTTATGAATGTAGTATATGACAAAAAAAACATGTTTATTTTATTTTCCAGTAGCAACATCTAAACAACCTTAAAACAAGCATCAACACACAGACCGTAAGAGAAAACAACCACTTTATGAATGTAGTATATGACAAAAAAAAAACACGTTTATTTTATTTTCCAGTAGCAACATCTAAACAACCTTAAAACAAGCATAATTTATTGAAGTGTAACTGTTTTAAGTGTTAAATGTGTTAATCTTTAAAGCAAAATTTATTTACTTAAGAAGCATAATTGTGTAATATATTAATACTTTATTAAGATGCATATAAAAAATGCAAAAACCCCTATAATTTAAGTGTTGACCGATATGTGTTTTTCAGGGATGATACCGATTATTACAGATCAGGTAGACTGATAACCGATATATATATATGTCTGGCATAAAAATTTAAATTAATGTCAAAATTAAGAATAACAGTAGCTTTGACAAAACTTTTTAAAAATGCTTTTGAATTATTTTATAGGCAAATGACCGATACCGATAGCCATAAAACGCTTAATATCGGCGCTGATAATCGGCCAGGCCGATAATCGGTTGACTCCTACTATAAATTATGTATCCATACAATTATGCTTCTTGGGTAAATACATCTGGTATTTTATATAAATAATGTAAAGTAAACAAATTTACACAAACACACACACACACATACATATAAAATATTAAAATCTTAATTATATGAAACATTTTTATAAAATTCATCAATATTGTTATTAAATTAAACAGTCATTAAAATAACTAAAGTTATTATAAAATTGTGAACAATTTATTATGTAAACACTTTATTACATTATAAATTTTTGTATAATTCAAAAATCAAAATTAAAATGACTAACATTTTTATAAAATTTAGAACATTTAATTATGAAACGATTTCAATGATCAAAATTAAATTGTATAAAATTTCTTATAAAATTGTATTTATGAAATATAATTTATAGAAAACATCTTAATGATTCAATATTTTTATTAAATTGCCAACATTAAAATGGCTAAATTTTATTGTAAAATTGTTAACAGTTTAATAATTGAACACTTTTTATTAAATGATTAAAATATTATTTATATATATATATATATATATTGTATTTTTTATATAAAAATATATGTATGTCTGTAAAACTGTTGTAATTTCTTTATTATTCACTTTTATTGTGGAATACAGTGTAGCTTATCTCCTGTCCGTACCTTCACAGGTCATCATGGGTCCGGGTTCGAATCCCTCCTGACAGGAACACTCAAAGCCACCAGGAACGTTTGAGCACGTGCCGTTTCCACAGGGGTTTCCGATCGAGCACTCGTCCGTATCTGTCCAATCAACCATCAGACCATCAGAAAGGTGCCGTTAATAACCCACATAACTAGCTAGTTCATCATTTGCTTGATACTTTACTTTTATTATGTCGTAAACTAAGGGATTTGAACCCACAACCTTCCCGCAGTCATCGAGAAGAGCGAGAACAGAGTGAATTGAGGTTAACTGGGACACTTTTAGCCAGTCAGAAGCAGAACTCGTCTCAATGAACGTGAGTTTGCGTAGTTTTATGCTGAACTCACCCACGCAGTTGATGCCGGTGTAGTCGAGGTTGTACCCGAAGGGACACTCGCAGCGGAACGAGCCGTCGGTGTTGATGCACAGGCCGTTATTTTTTTAATTAAATTATTCAACTCTGTTAGATTAAATGACCAAAATTAGGATTACTAAATTTTTGTTATAAAATTTTGAACTATTTAATAATTATATAAACAATTTGTATTATTCAACTTTCTGTTAAATTAAACAATCAAAAAAAGAGTAATTTTATAGAAAAAAACTGTATTAAATTATTCAACATTTTGTTCAATTAAATGGTCAAAATTACCAAATTACTATTTATTTTATAAAACTGACAACAGTTTATTTTATATTAAATACCTAATTTACCTTTTTTGTTCCATTAAATGATCAACATTAAAATGACTAAAATTTATACAAAAATTTTAATATTTTATTAATTAAGCTTTTTTAATGAAATTATTATTTATTGTTGCATATGAGAACAATTTATTAATTATACAAAACAACTGTATTAAAGTATGAACATTTTTTCGTTAAATGATCAAAATGAAAATGACTAAAATTTATTAAACTTAGAAGGGTATATGAATTATATAAAACATTAAATTATTTAATTTAGTAACATTTTTATGAAATTACTGTTTTTTTTTGTTAAATTAAACAATCAAATAATATTACAAATTTTAAATGATAAAAATTAAAATGATTAAAATTAGAACTATCTATTAATTACGTAAAACACTACTAAATTATTTCATTTAGTTACATTTTCATGAAACTATTTCCTTGTTAAATTAAATGATGAAAAATAATTACACATTTTAAATGATCAAAATTAAAATGACTAAAATGGATTAAAATTAGAACTATTTATTAATTATATAAAACATTAAATTATATCATTTAGTTACATTTTCCTGAAACTATTGTTTTTTGTTAAATTAAATGATCAAATAATATTAAATTTTTTTTTAATAGAATGTAGAACTATTTATTAATATACGAGACGACTGTCTTAAATTCTTAAAGCTTATTTTGTTAAATTAAACGATTAAAATAACAAAAATGTATCTGTAATAATTCGAATGATGTATCAATGCTACAAAGCAGTTTTTCTGAACTAGCTGAATAGTTTTGTTCCGTTACCCTCGGTCTCGCGCGGACACAGTTCGCAGGGGTCGCCCCATCCCTCGCCCGGCAGCAGGCTGCAGCAGCACTTGGCTTTGGTGGTGTTGAGCGGTTTGGGGACGGAGCATTTGCCCGCTTCAAACCGCGTGAAGCAGAAGCTCTCGCGCGTGTCTGACCACAAAAACACACATTCATGTGAGGAAATTACACAGAGCTGCTAAATACAGTAATATACCTCACTTCAAAGTGATGAATATTTTGATTTCATTTCTACTACTTTATACACATAAAATCATCATTATAAATGACAACATATTGTATAAAAATAATTTAAATATAATAAATAATTTTACAATAAAATAATATTTTTTATAAATATTTTACGTAACTCATACATTTATGCTAAATCTAATTAATC